AAACATTCTATTGGGTTGATTCCATGGCCACGCTATGCTGGATTAAGAACAAGAAGGTGTGGAAACAATTTATTCGCCATCGCATCAATGAAATTTTAGATGTTTCCAATAGGGAGGAATGGTTTTACTGCCCTGGACCCCAGAATCCAGCAGATTTGCCATCGAGGGGTAAGGTTGGGTCTTCTTTATCCACTAATTCTTTCTGGTGGGAGGGTCCTGAGTTCCTCAAGCTCGACCCCAGTGAATGGCCACAACCCCCAAACGAGTTTACAAGTTCAGAGGCAATGGAGGAGAAGGTAAAGCATGAGCCTGAAGTTACCCACGTTATGGTTAATTCAGAAGAGCCAGTATCCTTGAATCTGGAAAATGTTTTCGACATTCGTAAATACAGTAGCAAAGGCAAGTTGTTAAGAACTCTTTCTTGGGTTTTGCGCTTCGTAGGCAATTTAAAAGCAAGACTAAGTTGCAAATCGATTAACAAGGAAAACGAAATATCGGCAGACGAAACTTGCAGAGCTGAGATGGTCATTGTTAAGTCTATTCAAAACCAAGCATTTAAGATAGAATTGCAGTATCTTTCTAAAGATAATAAGAGTAGAAGTAAGGCGCCGCTGTATGTAAGCCAATTCAATCTTTTTTTGGATGAGCACGGAGTATTGAGGTGTAGATCTAGAGTAAACAAATCTTCGGTCATTGATTCAGGGAAAAATCCCATCTTACTTCCCCCAGGTAATCATTATGCCTTCTTATTAATTCAAGAGTCGCACAGAAAGGTATTTCACAATGGAACACGTGAAACATTAAATTTATTGCGTCAAACGTATTGGGTTCCACGAGGCAGAGAAATGGTAAAGAAATATGTTCGCAAATGTCTTTTATGTAAGAAACTAGAAGGGTTGCCATTTCGTACAACTTTCAACCCAGATTTGCCGCAAGCTCGAGTAGACGACGGTCCACCATTTTCAAATACTGGTCTTGATTTCGCAGGGCCCCTTGTCGTCAAGTATGCAGGAGACACCACTAAAAAGTGTTATGTTTGTTTATTCACCTGTATGTCTACAAGAGCGATTCACCTTGAATTAGTAGAGTCATTAGAGGTTGATGCGTTTTTTAAAGCATTCCGAAGATTTTGCGGTCGTAGAGGGTTACCTTCTACCCTTTGGAGTGATAATGCCAAAACATTTAAGTCAGCAAGTATAGAAGTTAAGAAGTTACTAAGATCACCCAGGTTTTACGAGTCCTTGTCTCTGAGATGTGTTGAGTGGAAATTTATAACGGAAAAAAGTCCCTGGGAAGGTGGAGTATGGGAAAGGTTAATTAGAAGTGTAAAGAGGTGTATTATAAAAATCATTGGTCGAGCCCTATTAGACTTTCACGAAATGCGTACAATTCTAGTAGAGGTTGAGGGTGTTATCAATTCACGCCCCTTAATTTACGTACACGACGATACCGAGGGAATCTCGTACCCATTGACCCCCTCACATCTGATAAACGGGAGAAATTTGTTGCATTTGCCTCAATACAGATACCTAGAAATTGTAAGTGTTTATGAAACTTTATCTAAACGTGCAAGATATAATAGACTTCTTTTAGGTCAGTTTACGCGTAGATGGAGAAACGAATATTTATTAGGGTTAATGGAAGCATACAGACCCACCAAATATCAAGCAAAGCCAAATGTTGCAGTTGGAGATGTAGTGTTATTGAAAGATGAGAGCAAGAAAAGGAGTTTTTGGAAAATCTGCCGCATAGAAGAGCTCATAGTAGGTAAAGACGAGGTGGTAAGGTCAGCGATTATCCGACTAGGATCAGACGATGGCAAAATAGGTAAGAAGACTTTACGTCGCCCTTTAAAGTTACTAATACCATTAGAAGTAAAAGCTAACCATTTAACGAATTCTTTTCAAAATCCTCCTACGCAGTTGCCATTGCAGCCAGCAGCGCAATCGCCTTCGCAGCAGCGTACGCAGTTGCCTATGCAGGCAAACACTAGACCTAGACGTAGAGCAGCAGTTTTGGGAGAGACAGTTCGAAGACAAAATATGCATTAACGTTTTTGCAGCATATTATCTTTAACTTTGTTATTGTTCTGATTTTGTTATATGTAATCAAGTTAATTCAATACTAATATCTTTAGTTAATTTGGGTTTGATCATGTCATGATTCAAACCGGGGGAGTGTGTTATAATGCGTTCGTCACAACCTCGTTTTAGTGCTAACGCGAGATAGGTGTGACAGTTTTGAGTTAGTTGAGTTCACGAGTTGAGTCGAGTCGAGTTCGCGAGTTATGGAGTTTACAACAGAGTTTTGAGTTATTGCTTTAATAATGTAAATAGTTGTTATGTTTATGAAAATGAGATAAAACCAAGTTCAAGCTCATCATTGCAGCCCACGTCTTACAATCCTCACAATAGGAGACTCATTCAAGCAAATTCTTTTCATCTATCCTTCCTGAAATTGTGTCCAGGAAGACAGAGCTTGGAACACCAACAAATCGTTCATACCATACATATTATATTGTAGGAGACCAAAGTTTGGGAAAGCGATCTTATGTGAAAACAAAGATTGTAAAATTTGATGGTAGCACTATCCTTGTGTGGAAGTGAAAAGGCGTCCAAAGGAAAGTTAGAACTGTAGAGAGTTTAGCTCTTTTAAAATAAAAAAAGTCATAAACTTTTTATTCATGTAATATGTTTAATTTTTGTCTTGTATTTTGGTGTCATATATTCAGACAACACCCTCTCCACATAAACCTGTTTCAGCATAACATGCATTTTGGGAGAAATGGATCAAAACTCTAATTTCATTAGACAGTACATGTAAATAAAATCAAAACATGTTCACAATACTTTCGTTTAAATTTAGAATACCGGACACAACAACCATTATTTTATCAATTAAATCTACACGACATATAGGTAAAGAGTGTTGTAAAATTTTGAATTTTCTCAATCGCCCAATGACCCTCTCCACATGAATTCTGACGTTTGATAGTTGCCTGGATTCATCTACATCCTTTGCTGACAACTGTGTCTTCCCACGTGTAACTTTTGGGATCTTTAGATATGCTCCATGTTTTGCCAATTCATCTTCAATTAGAAACCCTCTATCTGCTAGAACACAATCGCCAGGGTGTAGCTTCTTTAGGAAACCTGAATCAATGGTAATCTGCTTGTCAGAAACTCTGCCCCCCCCCCAGCCTTCAGATAAAAATGTGACTGCACCTGCAGGACTGATTCCAATGAGATATTTAATTGTATTATTATGCTTATAATTTGACCAAGTCTGAGCCCTTGCTGTCAGATTCTTTGGTCTTTCAATAAATATCTCACTGCAATCAATGATGCAGATACAGTCTCTATATTTACCCTGAAGGGCTGGGGAAGATTTTCCTTGATTTCTATTTTGCTAGGCCACACAATTAAGTTCTTGAGGGATGAAGAGAGTCCTGGAAGCCAGGTTCGAAAATTTTTTGAGATCATGGTGTTTGTGCAACCAATTCTATAAGCAATGTCTTCATTCATGAGGCCAAGCTTAAGCTTCATCAGCACAATTAGAACATGGTCCTCTTCCGACAGGACAGAACTGCTTTTTTTCAAATTGCTTCTTACCAAAGAAACAACCCATAAGAAAACAGCTACAGTTGGCAGCCCAGTAAAAAATTTTAGATCTTTATTTGATTTCTTTAGTTTTTCAAAACCGAATCTCCCTTTTTTAAGTTTTTCATTTTCTTCTCTCAATTTGTATACCTCTGCATTCCTTTCCCTTAGTTCTTCCTCCAGCTGAGACACCTTGGTTGTTAGTCTTGCTATGGTAGATGTAGCCAAAACACTTTCATCATCTTCCTGGTTTTCCTCGTTACGTGGAGGCACGACACCATCATTTGATGAATCGGAATGCGGACTTGCTTCTTCCGATGACACCCTTCCAGTTACTTTCCAACTGACATGAAATCTCCCCCTTTTCTTTTTAAGTGTTTCATACCTTGCTTGTTTTGCAATTTTGTTTTCAACTTTTGCAATATCTCTCGCAGATGTGTGCTGGAATATTGTAGGAATCCAGTTGGGATCATCAGGGTGATCCGAACTTTTACTGTTCTACTGTTCAATTATGTTCAAGGTTTTGAAGAAGCAAATTAGATTAAAAACTCAAAAACATGCAAAAAGTCACAACCATACAGTTTAACAAACAGCACAATCAACTTATACAGTTCCATGTTATATGAAGTTCAATGTTCTAATTTTCATAACGAAGAACAACCAACCTTCTTGCGGTTTGCAAAAGGTTTTTCTTTCGTAATATTACAGGGCTTTATTTGCTAATGTGGATATGATTAACCATATTCGCAATGCAGTTTTTCAAGAAGCACTAAATGCTCAAGAAAGCATTTACAGAGAGCATTTCGGAATCACCAGTTTTGGCTTGGCGTCTTAGGCCCATATGTCAACCACAACATTGATATAGTCCGAGCTATCAATTACATGTATTTAGTCTTGTCACGGGGAAAACACATATAATGACTAGTAAATCAGAAAACTTGAAAACGAACCTGAAATGAAATGCTCCCGCAAATGAAAGCATTTGATATTTTCTCCTCGCTCCACGATTTCCAATCTGCCCGCCTTATCGCTGTCATCCAATCTTGCCTTTGACGTTTCTCAATTGGTGTCGATCCTTTAGGCATCTTATAAAAAGGAACATCTTTATTTTCTCCAATTTTTCTGTTCGTACAACCGACCCCACAACAAGTTCGAGGCATTTTGCTAAATGCGAGAGATAATTTTCGATGCAACAAGAAGTAAATCAAACCCGATTGTAAACATAAACAAGGTTCTTGACTACAAGGATGCGCGCCCATCAAAAGAGGCCACGGAAATAGTAAACAATGGGAAACCGTCTAGTCTCTCTTGGTATTGTGTGCATAAACACCCGGAGGAGACCCAATTCAAGCTGAAGTGCGAACCCTGGCACTCATTGGATTTTTGATCAACAAAATCTTTTGTTTTTTCATATCTTTGGAAAATGCAACACCCTTGTTACTTTGCATCTTCCATTTCTCAATTAACTTGATGAACTGAGCTTCAATCTCACTAGACTTGGCAGAATCAATGATGTTTTTTTCTTTGATTCTTTATCTATGTAGCCAAAATGAAGCTGATGATATCGTTTCTGATGGTACCTTTAATGTCCAGTTCAGCCAGTTTAGACTCAATGTTATTGCGCATGTCACAAACCAAGTGGTAGACAGCTCCAAAACCTGATTGCAAAGCTTTGTGTACATTCACTTCTCATCAGTACGAAAACATTGTAGATGGAAAAAATCCTTAGGGAACCAGAAAATGCTAGATGGCAATTGAAAATATGAATCAAAGCCTTTTTTGCAATGTAGCAGCACTGGTCGAAACATGAAAGGGTGCACACATCTGTTGATATGCAACATGAGTTGTCTGTATGTAGACACAGTCAAATAAAAATTCCCAATGTCATAAGTGGATCTACACATATATGTTACCAGAAAAATTAAAAATGCTTTTTTTCCATTAATAACAAAATTATGTCTAAACAAAAATTTCCAGTTTTAATTTCTAGTCTTCCCAATGCTTATCAAGCCTGTTGAAATTTTGCACCTGGACTTCCTTTCCTGTCAAACTATTCCAGGTAGTGATGCATCTTTCTGTTAGAAAGTTGCTTTGAAAGTTTAATTGTACTAGTTTCAATTATTCTCAGAAATTCTCTTTGACCTATGCTGAATAACTTAGCGGTTTCAGCCCTTTCATTTAATTATTTGAATACTTGAATCATATCTCCTCTTTAGCGACAAAATGCTTTAGTTGGTAAATTGACAGCCTTAAAGAATGCATGTCATCCATCAGCCTTTGCGGTCCTAACAAGCGCATCTCCTGTTTGCATTTCTCAATCATTTCGCACCAAAGCTGTGCAGCCTCAATTTACTACTAAGATTAGCTCGGTTTGTGTGAAGAATGAAGTGAAGAATTAATATTTATGGATCACCCATCGCTGGGTCGTCAGTTTCAGAGGAGATCAGCACCTCTCAAACATTTTCAAATAGTGGGCTATCAGCGGTTGTGCCCGATCTTGCTGAACTTAGGCATCTATCTATGGTACGTAAACTTTCGTATCTTTTACTTTTATGTTTTATATATCAACACTTTCCCTTTGCATTTCAATAATTATATTCACAGTACAATACAACTCAAAAGGGTTGGGTAACACTTGGCCAGTCGCGATTTTCTTCAATTTTTTCATCATGTAATATTGAAATTCACACAGGCTTTATCAGATCTAAAAATTGATGTGATATGGCAAAAAAACCTACCTTGGTTATATACATAATACCAATATTTTTCTCCAAGATAACCTGTGTCTGTGCCACCACAAGTTCCCGCAAAAGTGGCAAAAAGGAAGTATGCCCATGCAAGGATGCATCAAAGCTTTGTAATGAGAAATGCTTTTGCTGAGTGAAGAGGAAGGGAAATGTTGTAAAAAGCAGAGGATGGCCAATAAATGATGCAACGTAAATCGGTTAAATCTTTCTTTCTTTTCTTTCGATAAAATCATCCCAGCAGCTACATAACATGCATACTAACAACGGCATAATAATTAACGCGAGACATGGGCATAATCTTTCTCAAGAACTATCCCAGAGGTCTCTCAAAACTGATATATCTCAAAACGACTAAGAGCAAAACAAAAGTGACAAGATCTTTCACAAGCATCTTGCCCCTAAAACGGTGCATGCCTCAACTGTTTTCTTTTGCTGCTACTTTTCCATAATTCTTACTGCCTAGGATGGGGTACGGGGCTCCTATATATACTGAACTAAAAACAATAGACATACGTAAATGAAACGGTAAAAGGAAGTAATCTACTAAGTGATGAGCGGGGTAGGGTAGCGTGATATTCTTAAATACTGGGTTGCTATGGTGATCTACTTAAAATGCTGATAATTGACGTAGGTATGAAGCTACTGATAATAATACAAAGACTATCCTAATACACGTGATAGGAAAATGCGGAACAAGCAAGAAAAGTTACAGATAAACAATGTGATTGGGTAAGGAAAATCAAACGAATGGACTAGAGAGGAAGGCCTAAAATTAGCAGTCTTACAATGTCATAGAGTGGTGTAAAAATGGAAAGGTAAACTTATGTCCTGTCTACATCATATCTTTAACATGCCTCCTTAGTAACCCTGGTTTTAGCATTTTGGTCTAGACAAGAAAACTAGTAGGCAAAATACTGGACTCTGATGAAGCCCTGTATGCTGGGGCATTGTTAGTATTCGTTTAATTTAATTTGTACCCTACGTAGCTACTAAAATGAAAAGGAAGATCGTCAAAAGCACGAATTACATGGCTCTTGCAAACGAAATAAGAAACGGAGCTCAATCTTCAATCAATAAAAATCAGTTGATAAAAAAGCCAAGGAGACTCACCTGAGATCGAGAGAACCCACTACTGTAGCTGTAGCTGTAGCTGTAGCTGTAGCTGTAGCTGTAGCTGTAGCTGTAGCTGTAGCTGTAGCTGTAGCTGTAGCTGTAGCTGTAGCTGTAGCTGTAGCTGTAGCTGTAGCTGTAGCTGCAGTACTAGTACAGAACACGACCGTCGAGGACCACTGTGCACGTAGATTTATCCAATTCCAAAGCACTGAAATCTTCGGCACACAGTAGATTCTTTGTGGAAAGCAAAACGAATTTGAAAAGCCTCTGTTCAAATTGAAGGGTTGCTGGAGAAAGAAGTTTTGAAACCTTTTGTAGAGAGCAAGAAAAAAGAGAGAGAAAGAACCTTTAGAAAGACGGGACAAAGACCGCGGAGAGCACTAATCGTGACCGAGAGGATTTCGAACGAACCCAGGAGAAAACCGTAAATATCTCAGGAACGAAAGCAAAAAGGAGAAAAAGGAGACCGTAGTATGGTGAACCAATGATCGAGGATGAAGGGGAAAAAGAAATTTTGAAAATCAGCCGAGCAGTTTTGGCTGAAATCCCTCTTTATCGCCGGGCGGTGGGGACCTTTTGTTCGGGGTTAATTTGCATATACGAATTTTAGTTATAGTGATAGAAGGGTATCACTTGATATCAAACAAATACATGCAAAAGAGCAATGGTTACTGCTAAAAACTAAAACAAGGAACTGATACAAATAAAACTGCAATCATACCTTATTCAAAGCTTTCGATAAGCTTTTCGATTTATGCCAAATGTCTAATGAGTGGAAGACTTTTTTTAGCTCCGGATTATCAAGCTTCAACTCTTTCATGCTTCAACTCTTTCATTATGGCACTTGAAGCATCTGTTGTCACTTCTGCAATGTCTAATTCTTTCATTAGTCTGACCTTTTCAATGTTAGTCTGAGTTCTTTTCAATCCTTCTCTTTCCATGTTTACAGAAACTCCTTTGGTTTCCCTTACATCCAACACTTCTATGTCCACCAAAACGTTTGAAAACTGCTCCATCATAACATAGCAACAATACCATGCACTGTGCCTGGGTGAATTGTTGCGACCATCACTACACAGGCAGATATCATTATATTCCTTCAGAGTACCAGAAACAGCACTTTGGATGTTGTTCCACAAATTTTGTTATTTCTGGTAAGCAATAAAGACGCTGTATTCTGCAAAATGTAGAATCACTTGGCATATGCAATTTCGAAAATTTGCAAAATAAATTAATTTTTGAAAAATTATTGCCAGATAGGAGGATGCAAGATGATAACATCATGTCATTCACATAAACTGGGCTGTAGCGGTTGTAGAACAAAACCTCTGATGATGTCTATGATCCAGCATGTCTATTGGTGCAACTCCAAGATAGAGTAAAGACAGATGCCCTTTGATTAGTAGTAAAATTAAGTTTTGCACCACATAAATCATCATCTTCTGTTAAATGGACACAGTGAGCACCCTTCAATTCTTTCAATTTTTCAATTGATTCGATAAATCTGGAAAGGTTCACAACATCATTATCTTCTGTCAGGTCTTTACCAAATGTAGAGATACGATTGTCTATCTCTGATTCCAGTTTCCTTTTTACAGTCTCCAAATTACCTTGTACCGTCTGCTCAATGTTGGTAAACAATAAGCTTTCATTGGCAAGGTCCATTGAGTCATTAAAGTAAATAGTACACTTCTTATTTTGCTCATTCCCTTCTGTGTCATCAGGCAAAACAAAAGACCTTGTCACATCAATCTCCACGTCATCAATCTCTTTTATTTTCTCCTTTTTATCATCCAGATTGCCATCCAATTACATTTTCTTCAAATTTCCGCTAACGGTCTCAACATATTCATCACAACTGGAATAAGAAAATAAATGTTATGATGGACACTTTGGCAAAACCAGGCCTGCCATGAAAATTGCATAATCACCTGAAGAGCACCTTAAATTAGCCATGGAGATATTACCATGAAGCAAATAAACATTTTGAAACAATTTTGATCAAACTTATACCATCTCCTGAAGTGACCACAATATTAAAATTAATATGATTTCTCATTTCGAAACTTGATAAAAACTCTATCAGAATACAGTGCTATCAGAATACAGTGCTTACAAAGAATAGCTGATGCTCATTTTTTCTAACAGTTTAAAGGCTAAGACTATTGAGCTTATTGGGAGGTATGGTTGAATCTTTTCAAATTAACAATGTTTATTAACTATGTAACTCTCAGCTTCATCTTCAGTAGTTTCACCTCCACTTTTGTTCAGTTCCAAAATGATACTGTCTGTGTCACTTGTGGAAACTGACACTATGCTCTCACTGTCACTTTCTATGTCCTTGCTCTGAAAAGGATCTCCATCAATATTGCTCGTGATATTAAAAATAGACTGACCAAGTTTCTGTTGTGGGAGACTCTGAGATGTGCTGAAGGATAAGATTGATGGCTCATTGACAATATCATCTTCAGTGGTGCCAAGAATATCAACATCACTGTCTTCAATTGAACTATGGTCATGGGCAAAGCCCTCAAAAAGCTGTGCAATAGGTCTTTTGGCATGTTTGGGTCTGTGAGGTGTTGATGACTGGGCAAGCATTTCAGTGTCAACATCAACTGGAAAAGAAGGGGAAAAGTTGCTTCTTTCTAAATTTACTTTAAAAGTATTTACTCCCCAATTGCTTGTCTACATTGTAAACATTTAGAAATAAAGGTGGATGATGGATATGGCAAGTAGAGTCACAAGTTTAATCTTAATTAACGCAAGTAAACGGTATGCTTCTCATTGGATAGAGTTTTTTGGTTTGATTATAATTCAAGTTGTGTGGTTAGCTGCATAATTCTATTATACCCCTTATTTCGATAGAAGAAATTAAAGCATGAAAGTAGGCCTAATCTTACCCTTTCCTTGTTCAGGACTGGTATCCTCTGAGCTTTGCCTCAATTTTTCAAATCCATCTAAAACTGCGTGTGCGAATTCGTTATTGGTTATGTACCCAATTGGTTATGTACATGCTTTGCTTGATCTTTGACCATCACTCAAAGGTTGATTGGTATACATAGATAACTTTCAACTTCTCACATCTTTGTGGTCTTCCAGTCTTCAGCGCAGACATTTTACGAACGAAATGAAAATAAAAACTTATGAAGTTGACGTTTTTCGAAGAAATCTAGATCTTTCCAAAAACTTAGACTCGTTCGCAGTTCGATGTTTGCAGACTGCCGATCACAGCTACAATAGTATCATACGAAAGTGGCAAAAAACAACTTTGGCTTCCCGGTCGAGTGCACAATGCATGATGGTAGACATGCGTTCTTTAAGGCGTTTGAGATAACTTAGGTTCTTTCTTCCATGGATCATTTTTGTAGCTCATCTTTGCCCAGATTCAATACACCAATTGCACGACCGCGGCCTCGAGTGCGCGAAGAGGTCTGGCACTAGTTTTTGGGTGAAAAAGTTTCACCCATAGCAATGTAAACAGTAAACAGTACTACGGCATCTGTGCTATACGAAAGTTATCGATTATTTTTCTCAATGTTTCACTTGTCTTGACCTAGTCTGTAATCTTCGGAACAGCTTTTTTAAAAGCTCCTGTAATTTCAAAGATCTTACAGCACTGTAAACGATGGATTTTCAGTTGCTCTCTGGTATGAAAGTGGAAGAGCTGAAGGCATTCCTGCGGCTCCGTGGATTAAAAGTAAGTGGAAGGAAAGAAGAACTCGTTGCCAGAGCATTCGTAGCGATGGAGAATAACGTTCCTATCGTGCTAACAGCCGAGGAAGTCGAAATAGAACTTGCTAAGCAGTACACTGCAAAACTTAATGTATTTATATCGGATGAAGTTGGAATAGAGGAAATACCGGATCCTTTCAAGCTCACTGAAGGTTGGATTTCTGAAAGCGAAGGAGTTAAACTTTGGCCACATACATTCTACCCTGACATTTTCAACTTTTTGGCCTTTCATCCGAACGAGTTAGCAAGCAGCGATCTCTGTGATTACAAGACCTCTAAAGGGTACAGTTACTACCAGGATGGGTGGCTTAAACCGCTTGATTTTAACATAATCTCGCCAAAGAGCTCTCTATGTTTGCTTCGAACAATTTGCAGACCTTCGCAGAGAATATCTGATGTACCTCACAAATTGTGGGTGTGTTTAATGAAAACAACTGGGCGCATTATGGCTGCTCATTGTTCATGCATGGCAGGGATTTCCCAAACATGCAACCAAGTAGCTGCTGCACTCTTTAGGATTGAGGCAGCAGTAAGGATGGGCTTGTCAAACCCTTCATGCACATCAAAGCCTTGTGAATGGCTACCAAACAACAAAAATGTGCAGCCTTTGAAAGTAACAGACCTCAAGCTTGTTCGAGGGGATTTTGGAAGAAGAGGTAAATGTAAAAAAAGGTTGAATTCATCACCAAAAAAGAAATACGACCCCACTGTCAATATTCAGGGATCATTAAACCTTAATGACATTGTGTCAGCCCTCAGATCTGTTTGCAATGAAAATGACTCAATCATTTTCACAGCTGAGCGGAAAGAAATAACAGTGAATACGGAAGATAAAGAGCCAGTTAATTTATTAACCCGTTCCGATTTATTTCACTCAGCATCCACTGCAGAGGAATTTATCAATAGCTTATCCAGTTTATCAGAGAAAATTTCAGAAATTGAAAAGGCAACTAGGGGCCAAAGTAGTAATGACTTTCGGTTTTCAGTGAGAAGGCACCTGATTACTGCATCAAAAGCCCATGATGTCAAGACAAGGATGTCAACTCATAAAAGTAAAGGAGAAGCAGACTTTAGTTCAGTTTTTGCAAGAGTTTCGGGAGAAAAGCTGGTAAATGCTAGACTGCCAGCACTAAAGTATGGCCTTGCTATGGAAGAAGATGCTACAGCAAAGTTTTTTGAGAATTTTGCCAGGGAGCACAAAAGTGCAACACTAAAGGAGTGTGGTTTGTTCCTTTCCAAAGAACTACCATTCATTGGTGGTAGTCCTGACAGGATTGTTTACTGTGACTGTTGTGGGAAGTCATGTCTGGAAGTCAAATGCCCCTTTTCCATAGCCCATACTTCCCCTAGCAATCCTGATGCAAAACTGCCATATTTAGCAATTGATGCTGGGTCCAAAACGCTTTGTTTGAGAAGAAACCACAAATACTTCACCCAGTGCCAAGTTCAGATGGCTGCTACAAAATCCAAACAATGCTACTTTTTTGTCTGGACCAGTCATGGCACATTCACAGAGAAAGTAAACTTTGACGAAGAATTTTGGGACAGTACAAAGGATTTATTAAATGAATTTTACACAAATTTTTATATCCCACATATGTTTTCAACCAAGCTTTCATAAAATTCACTGCTTTCAACAATTGACTTTTTGCTTCTTTGCATTTTTATTCTTCATTTAGTTCTAATGTAAACTTGCAGGAGCTTTAATGTTACAAATTCTTTAAGAAAAATACAAAAAGGATGAGACAAAATTGTCTTTGCATCAGTATTATGTTATTGAAAAGTCAGTTTCATGTTGTGCTAGTACTTTATTTTTAAATGAAAAATGTTACAACAAAAATTAAGAAATAATTTTACCCAAATCTATTTTGACGTCACATGTTGAAAAAGTAAACACTCAACAGAAATACAAGATTCTACAATGGTTGGGAACAATGCTCAATTTGAAAAATTATGGGCTAATCAAAATATTAAAAAACATTCAAGCCTGTGACTGTGACTAAGGACAGCTTTAAATTTAGATGAATAATGAACTGAAATTAGAATGTTCTAGGTTCAATGTTCTCAAAAATCAACTTCTAAAACTTGGGCTTCTTTAGGAGAAGAATCAACTAGGTAAAAAAGGTCTAAAATAAAAAATATGTCACTTCATCAAGGTGCTCATACACATAAACATTGTAAAGAGGTTTTAATCAATTGGCTGTTTTTTTTCATAATTTGATAAAACAAAAGGGAGGGCTGCTGCTAGGGGGTTATCCAGAGCTTGATGATAAGGAGGGAGACCTATTTTGGCAGGAAGCTTAAGAAATAATTAGTATTGGTAAATGAATAAAATTTTTCACTGTCTTGGCTTGATAAGAGGTGGTTGCATGTTGCAAATTGCTGCACAAGTCTTTATAATATCATCAGCAAATGGAAGAAGAGTGAGGGGCAATGTACCCTTCAAAATTCTAAATGTTTTTATGTGATTAATTGCACGCTCTACGTGGATCCGTAAATTTGCAATTGCCTTTGTCTTGTTGCACTCTTCAGCTGTCATCTGAGATTTGACTCTTGCTCCAGGTGGGACAAAAAGTGTGCAGTAAAAATGGAGGAGATCCTCTTTTATCTGAAACCCGCGATCTGCCATTATTACGTCATTATATTCAAATAGGGAGTAGAATCCACTGTTCTGACATATGTACTGATCAGTGGTCCTACCCCCAAAACACTTAGAAATGAAAGTTATAAAGCCAGATGGAGCAATACCAATAAGGAATTTGATAGTGTTCCTCTTTTTGTAATCTGACCAAGTTCCTGCTTGATCACTGACTGACTTTGGTCTTTCAATTGCTATCTCAGTGCAGTCAATGATGCATCTGGTTTTACTATAGGGCCCTTTGAAAACATCTGGCAAATTTATTGTTATGATGTCTTTTTCGAGCCACACTATCAATGCATCTCCTAGAATTCTGCTCAAAAACCTGATCCATGTGGAAAATATTCTTGAGCAGGTAGATGGGGATATTTGAAATCTATATGCAAGATCATTGAGTAGCAATCCAAGCCGTAGCCGCATCATAACAAGCAAAAACTGGTCTTTGCCACATAGCTTTTGAGACATCAAACATTGCTTTTGTAGAAATGACGGTCTTTGATCCCCTCCACAGCACCAAATTTGGTAGGTATGGGCGTAATAATGCAAAAATAGCATTAAAGATGACAAGTGACTGGATGCCAGTATAAAATTTGATCTGTTCATCAGATTTTAGAAAAGCTGCTGACATTCTCTGTGGCCCTTTGACATCATCCTTTTTTCAATTTTAAGGATTCAAGCTTTGTAGACAACTTTGCAATATTTTCCTTCAAAGCATCATTTTCCATCTTAATCACACTAACCTTACTATCCATAAGAGAACTTATCTCTAAACATTTTTGGCACACTCCATCCTTTGAAAATGCAGAACTACCGCATAGATCTTGTACTGTTGAAGTTATTTCAGATGTAGCGAAGTATGAGCTTGATGATTCTGTTGCTGGAGATGATGACCTTGGTGCCATTACAGGTGGAGCGGCCCTTACCAGTTCTCTTCTTGGTTTTTTAGCTGGCTTATCGTAACCTAAGTTCAAGGTTGGGTTTGGATTCTCTAAAGTTGGGCGGCCATCAACAAAATGCATTGAACAGACCATATCGCTTTGGCCAGGAGTCCATTCTTTATGTCCCTTCGTTGATCGTCGCAGCAGTCTTATCCATTCTTTTCTCTTATCAGAATTCAGCTTCACACTTGGAAAGATGTGAAGGCTAAATGGGGTAGGACATGGACAATCCTTATGCAATAGGCCTTTATGCTCACTGCATTCTTTCTTCTGCCATGCCTTGATCTTGTATCTGCTGTTCGTACACCCTATCACCGCACAATTTCCGTTCACCATATCTCCGCCTCCTCTTGCTAACCAATACCGTTCACAACGCTTTAAGATCTTTGAAATTACAGGAGCTTTTAAAAAAGCTGTTCCGAAAATTACAGACTAGGTCAAGACAAGTGAAACGTTGAGAAAAATAATCGATAACTTTCGTATAGCACAGATGCCGTAGTACTGTTTACTGTTTACATTGCTATGGGTGAAACTTTTTCACCCAAAAACTAGTGCCAGACCTCTTCGCGCACTCGAGGCCGCGGTCGTGCAATTGGTGTATTTGGCATCAATAGATTTAAAGCGTGGTTGCCAGATTACTTGTTATATTTATGAAGTATCAGTCTTAGTAGTCAATGACGAAACTACTGGGGGTATGGGGGGTGCTGCACCCCCCCCCCCCCCCCCCAATCTTCAAAAAAGCAGATTTTGTCGGGCAAATTTATGGCTGCCAGTGTATCTGTCGGGCAAATCTGGAGATTTTCTTTAGATCACACTCTTATTGCTACATTTTGCCCTAGCTTGGTTTTTTAATTCATGGTCTTTTCCCCTATTTTTTTAAATCTCCTCCCAGTTGGGAAAACAAAACAGAAACGAGGCTAGGAACAGCAACATATATACATTTCTGTCTTTTGTCCACCGATCAGCGCTTTCGTCTCGAGCTCGACACGCTCATGTCTGAAGTATTGATCGACAGATGGAAACTAAAGTGTGTTTGATGCGAGAAGAAAATGAGCACTGTGCATACCCATTCCCCCTACTTTTTGCAAAACAATAGAGCTTTTTACAAAATCTTTTGTTGTGATTTCTAAATTTTCCCTTGACAAGCCTTTTTGGAGTTTTCTGCAGCAACCAACACACCAGCATCACAGGGCGTGCATACACAAGCTTCACAAGAAGCATTAAAGCCAGTCTCACAGGGGACAATTACACCAGCTTCACAGGAAGCACCAACACCACCTTCACAGGAAGGCCCCCCCCATATAGTAGTGATGATATAATGCCATGAGTAGTTTTGGAGGAGATGATTTCAAGTCATCTGATGATAGTGATGATGCTGACCACTTTCTTGAAACCATTGATTTGCCTCTCCGTCCTAATGAGGGCTATGGACCACCCATATTAGAGAAAATAGCAAAAATCGTGAATGAAAAATTCACTACTGTTCTGGGAAATGATAAAAGAAAAGAAATCCTTGACAAATATAAAATCCCAGAATATTGTGAACAACTCTCTGTTCCAAAGGTCAATGAGCCTATTTGGAACAGGGTTAAGGGTTTCTACAAGAAACAAGATTTACGTATTGCCAAATGCTATTAGGCCAGGAGTTATTGAAGGCCAGGGAAGCTAAAACAAACCCTGAAAGGTTATTACAACAAGACGTCTTGATTCTATTGCCTTGCTGGGTAGTGTGAGTACAGAAATGTCATAGAAAATGAGAGATGCCCTTAGACCACTCTTAAGTAGTGAGCTAATATCAACTTGTCATCGCTCAGATAAACACAAAAAAGTTTTTCTTTGGTGATGATTTGCCAAAAGCAATCACAGACTCTGTGTTAGAAAGTAAAATGATGACCAATAATAATGAGTACCGCCAAGGTACTCCCCATATCCAAATTATCCCCAGCATCAGAGAAGTTGTTTTTATCCAACCGGGGGAGAGTAAGTTACTCTTTCCCAACCCGATTATTCCAGTCACGAAACCCAAAACTAACTTCAAATGTGTTCCCAACAGAACAGACAAGGCAAGAGCAGAGGCAGGAATTTTTGTCAATAACTTCTCAGGTAAGAAAATCTCCCTCCAACGTCAATACGCTTGTTTACCCTACCTTGAAGCCAACTTCAAAAATTGTGTAGGTGGTTAGATAAGTAACTGTTTACCACACTGGGGAGATCATATCCCCTAAGATCATATCAATCTACTCTACAAACTGCGAAAGGAGATAAAATTGAATTCACTGAGCACCCCTATGAGAATTTCTGCATTCCAAAGAATTCAATCCCCAAAGAGCATGTTGAGTTGATTGAAACAGAACTGAGCATTCTACTTGAAAAAAGAGTAATTCGAGTTATTCTGAATTTGAAAAGAATAGATAAGTACATTCAACATTTTCACTTCAAAATAGACTATATTCATACTGCTTTTGAACTTATCACACCAGATTGCTGGATGGCATCCATTGATCTTTAAGATCCCTACTACATTGTGAAAAGACACGAAAATATCAGAAATATTTAAAATTTTCCTACAAAGATACAAACTGTCTACCCAAATGGCCTTTCCCATTGGCCCAGGAAAATAACCAAACTTTTGAAGCCACTTTTGTCAGCCTTAAGAACAAAAGGTTACAAACTTTGTGCCTTTATTGACGATTTGCTTATAATTGCTACATCATACCAAAAGCGTTGTGATACTATATTGGTGACAATTAAATTACTAGGTTCGTTGGGTTTTGCTGTTCATCCTGAAAATCAGTCTTCATGACTCAGTAGCAGATAACCTTTCTTGGTTTTCTATAAAATCTACCTCAATAAAATTACTTTGACTAAGGAGAAGGTTGCAAAAATGGAAAATAGCGTCTCCACTTTGCTTAACGTAAAGAATCCTTCTATTTGAGAAGTAGCTCAAGTAATAGGTTACATAATATCTACATTATTAGAATATCATTAGAACATTATTAGAACAAAAAGATTTCTAAAGATACCTTTTCCAAACACAGGTATGGCTCCACATTTCTATCTGACAGCAGACAAATCAACAAATCATATAATTGTCAACCAAGTCACTATGGTTTTTCCAGCAGTAGGTAGAGCTCGCCAAGAATACCTATGAGCATGTCCCCAGTTTATTTTAACTCAGAGGGAGACACTGGCTGTGGAAGCGATTTAGCTAAAGCCATCATTTATGATTTAAAGAAGAATGTTGATATAGAAGGAGATCAATGGATGCAGGTTCAAGGAAGAGTCACTGATGGACAGTATATCAATACTCCATTTGTTGCTGCACGAGTTGTTTACAGACGTACGAAGATGAAAATTCTGTCAACTTGACCCTCATTCAAGATGAATTCTAGTGGCCTAAAGTAAAGAAACCTGTCAATGTTGGTCCTTAACGTATAGGAAAAGCCTATAGCAAATGCATTCTATAGTGTTAACCCTATATACAGTATGTGTCTTAATAATTATAGGGCAAATTTTGGAAAGTGTTTTTCGTGAATAACTTTTGAACGACACAAGGTAATCGAAAATTCTTCTTTTAGAAGCTGTATCTGTAAAGGGTCCTAGTCGAATACGAAATCTTGGAGTTGGGGTAACGGGGTAAAGTGGGGGTAAACCCCAAAAAACACGTCTCAAAGGCTTGGCAAAAAACTGCAAAAACAGGTTTTTCGTGAATAACTCGAAAACGAGAAGGGGTATCGAGAGAGGGCTTGTGGGCAGTCATAGAGCTATTGGAGGCGCACCCTATGCAAAAAACGGCAATCGGATTGGGCGTGGCACTTACATCACAGTGACGTCAGAAGAGACGATTTTGGCACTTTTTGACTGATTTTCAAACGTATGGGTTTCAAAAGTGACAAGAGGTATAGACGGCCGAATTGGCTGAAACTGTACCAAAATTAGCTGGCTAGCAAAGGACCTTGGTTTGGTTCTGCCTCAGATGTTTTTTTCACAAACAAAGCCTGGTACCTGTCACAGTTTTCTCAGAATTGGTCGGTAATCAAAAAATGTTTAGGTCCGTAACTTCTGCCACACATGAGGTTCCTCTGATGTTAATGCACCAAACCAAAGATCTCATCGAGGCGAATCAATTGGTGGTATTGGCGTCACCTACAAATTACATCACTTTGATTGGTCGAAGTTTTGGCACTTGTCAGTACTGTATTCTATATAGCCACTGTACACTTCCCTCACAGTATATAGACCTTTTTCCGAATTGGACCACCATGCAATGTGCGCTTAGTTTCAGCCAAGTTGGTAGAACTCTGGTAGCTGTGGTAGTCAAACAAAGCTAGTCTTCGTTCTCGCAAGACAGTTAATCAGTGAAAAGTTAGGTCATTCAAAAAAATTTACTCCTTTTGCGATTCCTGAGAAGCAATGGAGTACTGATCCTGCGGCATTGCCATCGCTAACTTACATAGATATGGTGAACTACCTTCTCCTTGGAAGGAGTCCTTTCTATGAGATGAAGGATTTCAAGAACTATAACAGTTTGAAGGCTTATGACTGTTTTTTGGTTGGATGGGTACAGAAAATACAGTCTTTCAAATGCAGATTTGTTGACAAAGAACAAGCTACATATTATGTAATCAGGGCAAAGGTTAATCATAGCTAGCGCTAAGGAAAGCTCCAGTACAAGCTTGGTTTATTTGTCAGGAGGATGGGACAATCATAACTGCCCATTGTACCTGCATTTCTGGGATTGGAGAGACCTGCTCTCACGCTGCTTCGGTAATGTATTATGTTGAAGCTGCTGCAAGAATACGACAGAAAGCAACAGTGACACAGAAGGCAGCATTCTGGTAGCAGCCCTCATTTCGTTTTCATCTACAGAAACATTAAAAGGCAGCTTGCTGGGAGCATTGGTAAATAATCCATTGAAACAGAGGAACCATTGCCAACGAAAACAATTTACCAAGAAATTTTTAAGCAATTTGATGGGTTTTTCGAGAAAGTGGCTATCGGTAAACCATCGTTTCTCTCAGTTTATCCTGGCCATGCCAAAAAATTTAAGCCAAAAGTTCTTCAAGACCCTTTTTCCCTTTGGTTCTGACAGAACTTTATGATGAGAAATTTGAAAACTTAGACTATGAACAATTAATTAATATTCAAATCTGCAGTTCGTACAAATATTTTAAAGCCATCAACAACTATAATAAAAGGAATCTGTTATCCAGGAACAATTGAGTTTTCAAGTGAAGCAACAAGATGGAGAGTAGACCATGAACAAAATTGCATGAGAAACCTAATTCAAAATGGAAGCTCCAAAGCACAAAGCACTAGCAGTTAAAGTGTGTGGTCTTTTCATTGGGACTGTATACCATATGTAAGTGGTACACCAGATGGCATCAATAGCTATTCTTGCAAAGGATGTAAAACAAGATGCTTTGAAATTAAATGCCTATTCAAACTTTGCCATGTAGATGTCACTGACCCACCTTCAGATTTCTGCCTTGAAACTGGACCAAATGGTCTAAATTGAAAAGAACTCATCAATATTATTTTCAAGTACAGCCTCAAATCGCAGTAATCAATATGCTACCAAAGTGGAAGTGCTTGATGATTGGATAACATGTGGCGGAACTAGCAACCGAGAGGCAACCATTTGATTATGTAGTTTGTGAACATGTTTGGGGGACGCTTGTTGAGTACGTCCTTAAATGCCGAGATACTGCTGCATTTACAAGTGCAATTCTGATTCAGAGATAAACAAGGATCTTTCCTTTCATGAAATACCTTCAAACCAGATTCGTAAAAGGCCTGGCTCACAAGGATACGTCGCGCTGAATATACACCATCTCGCTACTTGTACGTGCGCAGTTGTCACTTTGAAAAGGTAGATTGAGGCAGATTTCCATTTGACATTTTTTTTGCACGCGGGTGTAGCGCCTAATTCTGAGCATGCATAGTTAAAACAAATGGTCTTGATTTTGTCTCCGCTTTGAGCACAAAAAATTGCAAATGGAAATCGGCCTTTAAGCTTCACCTAGACCCGATACACCATCTCAATTTCAAAAATTGAAGTTGAAGCAAAGTGTTGTGCCAAGTTTGAATTTACGTGGTGGTGATGCAGACGAATGAGAGCCGAAACGATCATCTAAGACCTCACAGAGAGCGAGAGCAGCGTTAGATTTGCCGAAGTTTACCAGTTGAAGTGAGGAGACTACCAAAGGGAAGTGAGGAAATATTGAGGATATGGGCAAAACGAGTATGAGCAGGAAAGATTTTGGTTTTAAAGATCTAGGGGTAATCGAAGATTCTACACAAGACAAGCTAACAAAGACTGAGAGTTTAAAAGAGGAACTCAGCCAAGCTAAGGCTAGTATTGAAGCTCTCCAAAAATGAGTTTTCTCGTTCGATAACCTAACAGATCTAAATGTCGCTGCAATATCATACAGTAACTACAATCATAACGTTACTTGTGAAATCTTGATAGGAGTTATCAGAACTTCTCTTGTTCATGCTGGTTCTTTCTCAAATCTCAAAGATACCAGTTTAGTGAGGTTTTCAATTCTTCATTTCAATATATAACCTCTAAGCGAATCTATTACTCAACATCAACAAAACCAACAACTGAACCAAATTTTTACGAAATTACTTAGTGTTACACCCAATATTGAATTAGTCTACCAATCAGATACAAGAATTATGTAAATTATATATGCACACAGTTAATTATAAGAATATAAGCTTAAATACCAAAACAAAAAAAAGCTAAACAATAGAAAATGCACTGTGGAATTCCACAATTTACCCCCCTCCTTGATCCATTAGGGATCAAGCATGAGCCTGGATTTCCATTGTGTATCCCTAGCTGCTGCACGCTAGGGGCGAAAGGGTCGGGTTCCCCCTTCTTTCTGCTTTTCAACACAAATTTTCTCTCCAATCTCCTTTCTATCACATTCTGTCATTTCCATTCCGTTTTCAACATTTGTACCTGTAATTCACGAGGATATAATTTTTGCAATGGTCTTGATAAAATTTTTGGCTTACTGATTACCTGTACTGAGGCTCCTCTCACCTGTCCATCTCTCCCCATGATGAGATCTTTGATTACTCCAAGATTCCATTGCCCTCGTTTCATTCTCTCCTCGTGGACTTGCACAATGTCTCCTTTTGCAATTTTATTTTCAGCTTGATTTGTTAGTTGATGGTGTTCTCTGAGATTAACCAACTATTCATGTCTCCATCTGTTCCAAAAATGGTTCAGCTTCTTACTAAGAAACAAAAACTTCTTGGATAAAGAATTAGTGTTCTCTGCTAGAAAGTCATGGTTTAATATCAATAACATGAGAAAATGGTGACATTCTATAACCAAACATTAAGTGATTTGGAGTTAGCACTTCATCAGTTTCATACTGGTATGTTAGTGTTGCCTCAATTTCAGTAAGAACTATATTCTAAATCATCAAAATTCAACCTTGCATTTCCTAAAACCTTTCTCATGCATCTTTTCATACAACCGATCAACCTCTCGAATATTCCACCCATCTATGGTGGACGTTCCAAGTTGAATTCCCATACAATTCTCCTATCTTAAAGAAAATCATTAACAATATTGTTCATACAAAGTTTCTTCACTTCATTATCAGACACAATAAGAGATGGTGTACCCCTTCTAAAGCAGAATCGTCTAAAACAGTTTGAAAAAGTTTGGGCAAACAAGTCCTCTACAAGCTCAAGGTGTACTGCCCTTGTCACACAACAAGTAAATAATGCTACATAATTTCCATCATCCCATTTTTTCTCCACTGCGCTGCATTCACACCATTCAACATCCACCAATCCGGCACCACCATCTCACATTTCAAATCCATTCACTCATTCGTTTCATTTACTCTGATAAAGCCCTGTATGCCGGGCCGAAATATTAGTATACTCTTTAAATTTAATTTATTTTAAAAATTTTATTTCGTGACATTGGATTCTCGTCATCGTATTGCTTTGTTCCTGTATATCTTTCATTTTAAAATCTCATTGCAAGATTCAAAGAATCTGGCGGACAGCCTATCCTGCGATTCTTCCTTCTCACACAATGCTACATAAGCCTTAACCATTTTACCTTGTGAATTTTTTTACATAGAGGGGACCTGCAAAGTCCACACCTACTTTACTAAATGGGACTGACTGTACTACCATAAATTCTGGCAGGGGTGCCATTGGTGGGGCATTAAATGGTCTACCCTCCAAGTTCTTACAAACTATGCATCTTTTCAAAACCTATTTGACATATTGCCTGCCTTGAGTTATCCAAAATCTAGATCTTACTTCTACTAGATTATTTCTTTCCTTATTATGACGAACCTTTGTGTGGCAATCAAAAACAATCATCTCAGTGAACTTATTATCCTTTGGTAAAATGATAGGACATTTTCCTCCATAATCAAGATCTGCTTGCTCTAATCTTCCCTTACAAATCAAAATTCCATCTTCAGACACAATACCTAATTGCTCCTCAAATTTCTTGAAATTTGGATTTGTCAAAAGATCTTTCTGAACATCCTTTACCCACGGTAGTTCAGCTGTGCGTATCTCATCAACTTCAAACCTTCCTAATTCCATTTCATCACCACTCTTTTTTCTTTATAAGTTTTCAATGAATCGTTTCACCAGTACTATTACTTTCAACAACCTTTTCAGATTACAATACCTCCCTATATCTACTACCCTTCCAATACCGACACTTTCTTCTGTGACTGAACATAAATTACAAGATTCCTTTCTTTCTTCTTGCACATCTTTTTGCTCATTTTTCATCTTCGAGCTCTGCTGAGACGGTAATTAAAATATTTCTGCTGAGGTGTGAGAACAGCCTGAGAATAAGGTTTCATTAACCAAATATGGAAAGGAAATGCACCATCTCCAAGAGGAATAGGAGGGATGTATACATCCCCTTCTCTGTGTGCCACATTTTGGAATTTATCTGAAAGAAGTTCTTTGTAAACATCTGTTGACTGAAAAACAAGCGAGTCATGTGAATTACCAGGATACCCACAGCTAGCCCAAGTTATTCGGTATTTTGCATCTACAATGGCCATCAAAACAATAGAATAAAAATTTTTGAAATTGTGGAATTCTTTTGCTGCCTCAGCACCTCCAGGTGGACAGCGTATTGAGATATGACAGCCATCAATGGCCCCATATGCACAAGGAAATTGCCACTCCTCATCCATTAATTCCATTGCCTTTCTTACCTCCTCACTGTTGGTTGGAAAAAGACTCAGCACTTCCTCTTCCCAGAAAACATTAACAATTACTTGGCATACCTCTATCACAATCAGGCAAATCGTCGCTTCACCAAGGCCTGCCATCTCCTCTATTGTATAATAGTAGTCTCCTCAACAAAGTCTGTAGAGGCAGACACCAAGCCTGCATTCAGGAGGTATGGCATCCTCTGTAATCCATTCCTTTTTCAAAACATTATAAATTCTGTCAAGAATGAATAAGAATGTATTCTTGGTGACGGAAAATGTCTTTTTAAACTGGTCCTCTCAGTATGTTTCCAATACTAGTTTCCACCATCCTTCGTTTCTCTGAAAACGTCGAGCAGATCATGGTCGCGGTATATTTTCAATTTCTCTGTTCCATTCGAAAAAGTATAGAACCGCCAGCAATAATTTGTATAGTTTCATTAAATAAATGCGTCTCTGAATGAAATTCGTTAGCACAGCAAACTGGGTCGCGTGCCGTCTGTGTCTGTTCTCGAGAATCTTGGTGCAAAGCAATATTTTAAGTCTTCTATCCATGGGAGCCATTTTGTTTTACTGAAAGGGGTGGAATATACACCGTGGTACTTCATGTATACCGCACTGAATGTTAATGAATGTTAATAAATTGGAGTCGCTCTTGTGTCGATTTTGTGTTAGATTTAAGATAATTGGATTTAGCTCGATTCAAATGCGACATCTAAACTGGGCCTAACTAACTTGTTTTCAGAACAATATTGACAGTTATAAGAGTTTCTATAGTTGCACATTTCATAGAAATACACTCATCTTTCTGTAACAGCTAAATATCATTAAACTTAGAAAACTACAGTACCTAAATGAAGATAGTGAAAAAACTTTTGTAACTGCACACAGAAATGTTTTGGCATGTACAATAATATCAAGCATCTGACACTGTTTAAGTGTAAATTATGCCATCACCTGTTTTGAGATTCTATGAAGTAATTTGGGAGCCTTTTCAACAAGAATGAGTTAACTCTACACTTATAGCTTTAAAAAATAAGAAATTCGTTGAAAACTTTTGGTAGCAAAAGTTTCTTGAATTTAATAAACTAACCACCAGCCTCAAACCTCAGATTCTTGAAAAATGAGTGTATGTTGAAATGCCAGTTAACACAAGTCCATCAAAGCAGTTAAAATATGCTCTTTTCTTGTATTGTGCAAAACAGTCTTTGCAATACATTTTAAAATTGATTTTCATTTTCTTGTTTTGCGCAAATAGTGTAAAGTAATTGCTAAAATAATTGATTATACCATTCACAGTTTTTCTACCTTGTACATGCTATTTTTACTGTTAGAAGAAGCTGGTAAATATGGTATATTTTTCTGTGTAAATTTTTACAAACTTGGGAATGTTTTTGAATGGTGAATTTGGGGCAGGGGCTTGTTTGGATGCTAAGCTTATGAACAATTTACAGTACTGATTTCAAATAGTCATTGAGTTGATTTCTTATTCATAAGCAAACATGCATTCATTATTATCAACTGAGTTGTTTCTGACATGTTGTATTTGCCAACTCACTGCACCTTCTGTACTGTTAAAATAGTTTAAAAATTCATCTCTGGCTCTACTTGCTTCAAACCCATACCTGTTACTGCCAATGCGATTGAAACTGCCATCACTATCAACTATATTTTTCCAATCACCAGGAATTATGTCCTCACTATTACTCTCTCGATCTACAAATCCAGTTGGAATATAATTTGCATTTTCCGTCAGTCTCAAGTAGTTATGAAGGCACACAGTTGCTTTGACAATCCCTTCAACTGTGTTTGCAGCAGCACGAATTGGCCTTCGAAAGATGTGCCACTTGGCAGCCAAGATACCAAAAGAATTTTCAATTGTTCTTTTGGCTCTTGACTGCCTATAATTGTAGATCCTGCTTTTTTCATCCAAATTCCTTCCAGGAAATGGTTTCATAAGCCATGGTTTTAGTAGGAAAATTTCATCCCCCACAAACTCTCTCTCTTCAAGTACTATGTCCGGGAATCATGGTTCTCCACAGCTTCCTATCCCTTGTTCTTCTCATCAGTTCTTGTTCTGACAACTTTGCTTTCTCCCTCTCAGGCAGTTGGGCTGGCCCCCACAAACACATAGGTTAAATCAAAAGATCCTACTTGTTCAGGTCCCGGAATACCCAACTTTCTCCTTCCACTTTTAAGTGCCTGTCCAAATGGAGATTGGCTCAGTAAGCCAGCATCATTTTCCCTTCCATAACCCCCAATGTCAATCAGTGTAAAGCAATACTTTGCATCACATATGGCCATTAAAACAATACTGTGGAAATTTTTGTAGTTGAAATATCTAGATCCACCACCATGAGGACATTCCATTGCAATGTGTTTCCCATCTAATGCTCCCAGGTAATGCGGAAAATTCCATTCTTCATTGAATTCATTTGAAATGGCTTTCCACTCATCTTCCGTTTGGGGTGCTTTGAGGTGAATTGGTTGAAGACATTTCCAAAGCATATTGCATGTTTCCAGGATGATTTTAGACACAGTTGCATGCCCAATGCCGAAATAGAAGGATTGTGACTGCTGCGAGTCTCCTGTCGCTAAATACCGTAATGTTAATGCCAAACGCTCTCTTGCAGGAATAGGAACTCTGAATCTAAATTACTTTTTTGATATGTGGGATCCAACGATTTACAATAAGTGCTCAAATCTTTCAGGTGACATTCGAATAAACCTACAGAATTGAGATAAATTAAATGAAGCATTTCTAATGACAAATGTGCATGCAGCTGTTTTCAAAATGTAAAGGATAGTATAGACATCTTAGTAGTTGCCCCAAATCTATGTGAGATGCATCAGTGTTGCTATACACCCCTATAAGGTGCTTTTAATTGAAATATGCGAAACATTCAGAAATCCATTATCAGATTTCAAGATTAATTTTACCCATAAAATACTTGCACGTATTCACCTGAAAAAGTATTCATGATTGCCCAGTCGCAATTCCTGCATCAGAGTGTTAAACACAGCATATTCGTTTCTTCTCTGAAAAATTTCTCTGACCCAGAATCAATGCTGCCTTTGCTTATGCTGATCGATTTGCTTCTTCAATAAAAGTAGCACAAAAATGCTTGCTTCCATCAGAAATCTTTCGTCTACATCCGCCATTTCAAGAAATCTGCAAAAAGCGCACCAGAAGCATCCAGAAAGGCAGGGATCCTCAGCAATTGTGAAAGATCGTGAGCGATCACAAGCGATCCGGATCGCTGCAATACTCCAGCAATTCTCAGCGATCGTCAGTTATCGTAAACGATCAAATGGAAACCTGGCTTTACACCTCCAAGAAAACTATGATAGTCAGGAGGCAAAGGATTTCTTACCTAAAGAACAAAATTAAAATAGAAAAGGGTAAAAAGCTGAGAAAAAGGCTCTTGGACTTTGTAAGGGTACTATTTCACCTGAATTGCTTACTTTTGTTAAGAAGCGAGTGAAGCTCTTCTCTACCAAAACAAGGTAGGAGGTATGATGATTCTTCTAAAGCATTGGCACTCAGTTTTTACCACGTAAGTGAGAAGGCTTGAAAATTCAATTCCTACCAGATTTTTATTTGCCATCCAAAAGACCCTAACAAGCCTTGTATGCTTCTGGTTCTGGCTGTGGCTTTACAGAAAAATCACTTTTTGTCTTGAAGGAAAGAGTAGAGCAATTATCTCCTGGAGAAAAATCCTGCCCTCTGATTATGGATTATAGGTGTCTCTGAAATCTAAATTTTTATGACCAAAAGAATGACTCCATTTTCGGCTCTGAGGATGTTGGTAATGGGTAACCATCTGGGTCAATTGCAAATTCAGAATTGGTGGCAAGAGGGATTATTCAAATATGGAAGCAGCCTATAACATACTGCCTTGCAATGAGTCTTGTGAAAAATTGCAGTTTAAGAAGAATCATGACCCATTCGGGAGCCATGGGCCTATCTGTTGTTTCTTTAGTGAGTGATAGGGGGCAAACTTCATGAGCTATTTTAAGTGTATGAAAGTCTCTGAAGATAAATCATTCTTTGAGCTAAATGGTAACAAATATTTTGCAATCTATGACATGGTAACAATCTGGTAACAAATATGAACTCAATTTAGTCAACCTCTGCATTTGCTTGAGTCTGTGAGAAACAATTTACTTAAATATGATTTTGAATTTGATGGCAGAGTAGCAAAGTGAGCACATTACGAGGACCTTTTGAGGGAAGATAAAAAACTTCCAACCAGGATGGCTGTCAGGTTAACAGAGAAGCGTCCCAATCCAAATTGTTTCACAAAATGATGGTGAAACTTTCCACAAAGACACGCACATTTTTCTGTTGGGTCTTCCAGCTGAGGTTATAGGTACAGCACAGTTGCTTAAAAGGTTTGAAACCATTTTTGACAGCTACAACTGATCGAGTTAAGATCGAAAAATGTGTAGAAGACCATTCACATCTGAGTCACTACATTTGGGAGTAACTTTGATTAGTGAATCAAAAACGAAATTTTATATTCAGATAACATTATTTATGACATATTATTTTTGACAGTTTCATATTATTTTTTTAGGTTTTTCTCACAAATTTCAACCCTGCAGTGATGAAAGGAAATGATCAAGCAGCAACCTATTTGACAGGGCTGTCATGGAATGTTTTCAAAATCAAATGTGATTTTGTTACCCCATCACTAAAGGAACCAATCAAAAATTTGCCAGTGAGAAACCAGATATTGATGATATTGGTCTGGTTGATATTGAATTTGCCCTTTGAATATTTAAGTTACCAGAATGGTTTATCACAAAGCACAGTCAATGCTACATTTCAAAAGATTGTTGATTTGATGTATGCAAAGCTTGGGTTTCTTGTTTGTTGGCCAGACAGAGATCATATTAGAAAAACTTTGCCTCCAGTTTTCAGGCAAAATTTTCCCAGGCTTACTAGCATTATAGATTGCTTTGAGATTTTCATTGATCGTCCAAAGAATTCAAAACAGCGTGCTCAGGTTTACTCTAATTATAAAAAACATAGTACAGTTAAGTACTTAATAAGCTGTAGCCCTCTTGGAGCAGTAACCTTTTTGTCTGATGGTTGGGGTGGGAGAGTCACTGAT